ATTCGTGGCCCTGGGGTCAGGGGTTCAAGTGCTATGGCGGGGCTCAATAAGTAGGTAGTGAAAATGCATTATTTCTTTGAAAATCTTCTTCTCTGCTCCTGGGTATTAAATAAACCAACTAAGTACATAGTTGTGATGAGCAAGAGTGCCTCTACCAAAATTGTGAATTTTATGGCCCAAGGGTCAGGGGTTCTGGTGTAAGGGTGGGGCTCTATTGATTATATAGTGAAAATACATGAATTCTTTGAAAATCTTCTTCTCTGCTCCTGGGTATTAAATAAACTAACTAAGTACATAGTTATAATGAGCAAGAGTGCCTCTACCAAAATTGTGAAATTTATGGCCCCAGGGTCAGGGGTTCTTGTTTTAGGGTGGGGCTCTAATAGTGAAATGCATGAATTCTTTGAACATCTTATCCTTTGCTTTTGGTTAATATACTAATGACCTAATTACATATTTAAGGCCAGGATTTATTTTATTTTCAGTTTTACAAACCCTTTGCTCAAGGTTTTGAATTTTCAGGGAAAAAAATAAAACAATTTTTTTTCTTTCCGATGTCAAATTTGAGTCGGGATCGAGATTTCAAATTTATGAACTCGCACTTCCGGTTTAACATGAAACGGCGGGTAAAAAAGCTAGATCTGAGCTTGGTTTAGTGTAAAATTCATCGAAACAAGTGCCATTCAAAACGTTTCACCCGTTCAAAGGACAAATAAAATGTTGAAGACTTTGCTGCACAATGACATGCTGGTGAGATAATTATGTATTCGTTTCAAAAGTATCTGTAAACTATTTTCCTCCCCCATGTTTCTAAACTGCCCATGGTAGCTATTGCATATTGCCAGCGACATTGTTACAGTTTAGGTCTCTGTTATAGCTTACAGTCTAAGCATCATTCTTCAAAAAAAGGTTGATTATGCATCAGATGTAATGAATAAAACTATGGGAGAAGTTAAGTCCATTTGAGGTGAAATAAACAATAACCTGAAGAAATACACAAAAAAAAAAATTCAACTATTAAAAGGCGGCAAGAATATACAAATATATACAGGCAAGTAGTATCAATTGTATCAGCCAGAAAAATTATTTTACACTTAATTGAAAAAATGTTCACCATACTTCCCAATACTCCCTGTCTGTTTTATGATAGGAATTATAATTTTAGGCATCAAGTAAATTTTAGAAAGTTGTCTACACATTCACCTAACACATATGTAAAAAATGAAGATAAATTGAAAGACTTTTAAAGAATTGATTTTTTAAAAAATATTTTAACCAACATCACAAAATTTATATAACTGGCCCAAACTGGCAGATGATGAAATAAGCAATTAAATGTTCTACTTTCCTATTTGTAAGTATTACGTGTCCAGTTGTAAGGAGCCTATTAGAATGGCATAAAAAAAGAATGCACAAATGTTTATTATTGATTTATCAAAAATTCTCATGTTCATAACTAAACCTAAACATTAAAAAAATGCTGGCCTTATAATGAAGAAAGAAGTCTCTTTCAAAATAGATAATTTCAGGGCCGCTGGGTCAGGGGTACCACGGGGGTACTTGACTAAAATTAGATTAATGCTTTGAAATCTGCCCTTTGATAAGCAATGGTGCCTCCTTCAAAATTTGTGAATTTCATGGCTTTTTGATTAAAACACGAACCAAATACAATCACTGGAAAGTTGTTACATGATACTCAGGTGACCTATAAGGCCCGTGGGCCTCTTGTTTAAAGTCATACTCTATGAACTGATTTTGAAATTGACACGCGCATAATGACTGTAATATTATATTTAAGGCAAGTACGTGGACATCTTGTTTTGAAATGAGTCTTAAAAGTGAAGAATAATAACTAAAGTAGAGGTTAGGAAATCTGTGTAATGTGGTCTTTAACCGATTTTTTTATCGTGATATGTTTTACACAAAGGACAAAGGTCAACAAGTAAGACCATTGTACGTAGTGGAGTGAGCGTTCTTCCAATCTTTCATCAGTCAGCAACAGCCAACACCCAGCAGCGCATGCCTGTCAGCCAGCAGGTGCCAGGACGCCCCCAGGGAGGACAACTCAGTGTGCCGGCAGCCTCAAACCGCCAGGCAGGCTACGAGGAATACAGTGCTGGTCACATGATGAAGCAGCATCAAGGACAAAATCCAGGAATGCCGCAGGTCACTTGCCCTAAGAGAATATTACAATCAATGTTTCTTCGTTTTTTAGCTCTACTGGTCAGAGACCAGAAGAGCTTATGCGATAGTAATGCGTCCGTCGTCCGTCCGTCTGTCTGTCTAGCTGTCTGTCTGTCTGTCTGTAAACAATTTTTCAAAATGCTACTCCTCCTACAGTTTTGGTCCGATTTCAATATAACTTGGCACACAAGTAGACTACACTAAGATACATAATTCTGTGTATCGGTTTTTGATTTCGATGAACGGTGTTGCCGTGGTTAGCAAAAATAGAAATTTCTGTGAAATTCTTTCAAAATGCTACTCCTCCTACAGTTTTGGTCCGATTTCAATATAACTTGGCACACAAGTAGACTACACTAAGATACATAATTCTGTGCATCGGTTTTTAATTTCGATGAACGGTGTTGTCGTGGTTACTAAAAATAGAAATTTCTGTGAAATTGTTTAAAAATGCTACTGCTTCTACAGTTTTGATCCGATTTCAATATAACTTGGCACACAAGTAGACTACACTCAGATACATAATTCTATGCATTGGTATTTGATTTCGATGAACAGTGTTGCTGAGGTTACTAAAAATAGAAATTTCTGTGAAATTGTTTCAAAATGCTACTCCTCCTACAGTTTTGATCCGAGTTCAATATAACTTGGCACACAGGTAGACTACACTAAGATAAATAATTCTGTGCATCGGGTTTTGATTTCGATGAACGGTGTTGCTGTGGTTACTAAAAATAGAAATTTCTGTGAAATTGTTTCAAAATGCTACTCCTCCTACAGTTTTGATCCGATTTCAGTATATAACTTGGCACACAAGTAGACTACACTAAGATACATAATTCTGTGCATCGGTTTTTGATTTCGATGAACGGTGTTGCCATGGTTACTAAGAATAGAAATTTCTGTGAAATTGTTTCAAAATGCTACTCCTCCTACAGTTTTGGTCCGATTTCAATATAACTTGGCATACAAGTAGACTATACTAAGATACATAATTCTGTGCATCAGTTCTTATTTTGATGAGTGGCAAGGATCATTTTTCTATTTATTGCTGATTTTAAGTCTCAAGTCCCAACTGCTACTTTTCTCTTCCTTTGTTTTAAGTATAAACCAGTAGAGCTACAGTCTCGACAGAGACTTCTGGTTATGTTTTTTGTATTAAAAATGTAATCAAATTTTATTAGAAGCTCTTCAGCAAAATGCAATTCTTTCCAGGGACAGGATACATTGACTGCCACCATGTTGGCTACATTTCCACCACAGGAGCAGAAACAGATGTTGGGAGAACGCTTATTCCCTCTCATCTCCGGTATGTTCCCAGACATGGCGGGAAAGATCACTGGCATGTTGCTGGAAATCGACAACTCCGAGCTGCTGCACATGCTGAAATTTCAAGAGTCGCTAAAGGCTAAGGTAAGGAGAGCAAAAACATAGACTTAAAAGGTTAAAGAGCCAAATTCCATAATGAATTCAATGAATTTAGGGATATATTCAGAATAATTATGTTTCCAATATCCCTTTTCTATTAGATACATGACTATTCAAAATATGAAATATATATGGAGATAACGACCAGTATTCAAGTTATAACGTCCATAAAATAATACAAATTTAGGAGCAGAACATAGACCTTTAAAACATCAGAGATGGGATCAGTGTCAAACAGGTGTGAGCATCCCATGTCGACCGGTCACACCCCTCGAGTACTTTTTCTTATGATCAAGAAATGAAGGAAACATCCTTGACAATTAAATGTGTAGATAATGGTCTACAATTAGTATGAAAAATGTCAAATGTATTTGACTCAATGATAAATTATATTTGCTGACAAATTCATTGTATTGACCATAGAACTTACAAAATGATGACTTTAAAACGAAGTTGCTGATATTGTTGTTTCATCAAGTTGTTTGTCAGTAAGTTAATTCGTTTGAAAAATTGAACATACGTAGAGCATGCTCTTGCACAAGTACGGTATGCTGACGATTGAAAAGATAAAGCCATCATATTTATCATTAGCTTGGCTATTATATTACCTTTAACCTCTTGCTCCAGTAAAATATCCAAACAGATAATTCAGCATTTCTGGTATGTTTTTTCATAAGTTTACATGAATGGAGATAACCACGGTTAATTAACAATACGTCGTCGATATTTCTAAACGTCGAGTTGAAGGCCACAGCTAATGCGTTCCTCTTTGATTTTGACATAAAATGTGTGTATGTCAAATGCAGGTTACAAGGGATAGTTAAAAATCTAAGTACATGATGAAAAAGCTCCTGATTTTTTTTTTTAAATCTACAGGTTGAGGAAGCTTTTGATTTGTTACAAGCCCACCGAGCAAAGGAGGAAAATGATGACTCAGAGGGGAAACATTTATTAACAACTTGAGATGCTCTTAGTAACCATTAACCTGGACGAATTTTGCTAGTAAAAAAAATTCATGAAATTGTTTCATTTGTGGATTTTAATATTTTGCTTTTTACATTTATTCTTTATCATGTTGATGCAATACCTTAAAATACTGATTGAAGCTAAAATTGTTATTTGATAGTAAAATTAAAATTTAGAATCTTTAGAAAAACAAAAATATGAAAATGCACACATATAAATGTTTTTGTACTGAGAAACTTTCTCGCATTATTAAAGTTTTTGAATATGGATTTGAAGTAAGTAATACTCATTGGCCAAGGATTTTTAATTGATCAATTTTAGATATTGTACAGTTTGAATCTCGTTTGATTGATTGATTGTATATTGTTTAAGGTCCCTCTCGAGAATTTTTCACTCATATGTAGACGCCAACACTTGCCGGTGAAGAGCTGAATTTTGCAAATACTCGGCAATGAGGGCCAGTAGACTCAATCTATGTCATAATGATTGGTGTGAGGCTTACAATATACCAAAATTCTTCTCCAAATTCAAACTCAACTAAGGTATAGATGATTATTGTACTGCTTCGATAAAGTACACCCTCAAAATCAATTACGTTAGACATATAAATAATTTTTTCAATTTATTGATATTTTCTATGAATAATGAAAACTTCAAAGCAGTTGTTTTATAGTAGCTTGACATTAATTTGTTTTAATTTATTAAATTTATTTCGATGTATGTCTATGAGCTCTATTAAAATTTTAAGAATTTATTCATTTAAACAACAACACTTTAACGTACATTTGAAACAATTCTTTTTACACAACTGGGCTTTTTAATGAACTTTTAAGCTCGAAAACTGATTGTTATCTTCACATATTTCATGCTCATGATACATGTTGTAAATAGGTAAAAGAGAAATAAATTTATAAAACAATACATTTAATTTATAGCAGATGTCGCTTTTAATTCTGATTCTATTATTTTGTACGATTGTTTTCCTCTTTTTCATCCGTTTGTGACGGCTTAAAAGCAGTAAATAGAGTATTAAAAGTTGGCGAGAACAATGATTTTTGAAGGAAATTCTAGTATGTTCGGAGCCTTTTATTCACCGGTGTTCTGCAAATAATAATAAAACCAAGGAGTTCAAAGTAGCTGGCGATATTCAGCGAGACTACAGCGAGATAAGGAAAATGTAACGAAGACCGAGCCTACCCTATTGGTAGATCATCAAGAAAAACAATCATAAGGTTGGGTAATTAAAATCACTTATTCAAAAATGACTGAGCCAGAAAAACTGAAACTTAGATGGAAGTTATACCTGAAGAAGTGTAGAATTAAAGTATTCTAAATAGGTCCTCATAGTAGCAAATCAAAGTTGGACATTGAAATATATAGGATACATCTTTTCAAGAACATTTGGGCCATTAATGCTGCAACTTAAACTGGAGCATCCCAGAGGGTCTGTAAATTTTAGATTTCTCATTATGTTAGCCCACTCTATTCAAATTTACTTTAAATGGACTTTGAGCTTATAGACTGTAGCTACCCTAATATGTAATATTTTATTTTAATTTGCGTATAAAATGCCGATAACGTTATACATGTAACTTTTATTCACACAGTGTACAACTGCATAAAAATACGATTTTCTGTCATCTGAAAAGCTTTCAATGGCGTAAAGTGGAAAGAATCAATAGGATAATTTCAGGATTGAAAACAAATACAGATGCTACATTTTTGTTATTGACATATCACAGTATTTTGTATGATATCAGTATTAAATTACAGTTTAAATAACAGTTTTATCGAAAATTGAAGAAGAAACGAAAACCAGTGATAAACCCTTCAGGTCCTAGAGTACGAAGTTTTATTAATGAACGATAGTTACTTCCTTTTATATGTCGACTTGATATATCCCGTTGGAGTTGAAATAAAGGATACTACGGAGTATGACACATCTGTTACACATTTCGATATTTTACTCTAAAAAGACGTTGATGTCATCTAACAGCAAAATTTTATGATGAAACATATGGAGAAACGAACAGTATTAAAGATCAAAAAGTCCATAAAACAATTAATAAAAAACAGGAGCAGAGCAAACAAGGACCTCCAAATCACCAGAGGTGGGATCAGGTACCATGGAGGAGTCAGCATCCCCTGCCGACCGGTCTCACCCGCCGTGTACTCCTTGTCATGATCGGGAAAAGTCCGTCGTCAATTCAATATATAAATAATGGACAAACAATTAGTATGAAAAATGTCAATCAGCTTTTGACTGAATGATAAACTGCATTTGCTGACAAGGTCATTGTATCGACCAAAGTACTTACGAAATGATGACTTTAAACGACACTGCTAATATTCTTGTTTCATTAACTTGTTTGTCAATATTTTACTTCGTTTTAGAAATTGTTCATACGTAGAGCATGCTCTTGCGTATCAAATCAACTGAGATATATATACTCCGTATGCAGGCGATGGAGGTATATTGCTGCATAAGTAAGGGAAGTTGACGATAGAAAAATTAAATTCATCACGTTTATCATAGAGCTTGGTTGTTAGATTACAATTAATGTCTTTTTAAAGTAAAATATCCAATTATGAAACAGATGTGTTAGACCTTGTGGTATCTTTTATCTCAATCTATCCAGGATATATCGCATCGACATAGGAATTATCTATATGTCAAGTTGAAGGCCACAGCAAGTGTTTTCTCCTTTTCACACATAGGATTTTGCACAAATTCTGCTTCATATGACTACAAAAAATAGGTCTGCTAATAAGAAGCGCAATTGGTACCCATGGGGATTCAAATATATTGTAGATTGTTGGAAGACTTGGTCTCCAAAAACAAAATAGATATTGTTAATCAGCAACTTTTTGGTGTCAACTTCAGAGTACTTGTGTGTACAATTAGAATGTGTTTTGACAAAATAATTTTGGAAATGACCAATGACCAGGTATGTAAATTTACGAGTTCCATTTTTATTGAAAAAGCAGCTGTCGGTAATGTCAAAATATGTCGACTTAAATATGTCGTGGGGAATGGTTGTGTATAAAGTTAAAAAGGCGTAATTTTTTAAGCTGTTGATTTTTGTTAGATCTTGTGATGTCAAATTGTCCAAAGTTCTTTGGAATTTTTGAGTATCCACATCTGATTCACACCACTTCTTGAATATATTGTTGCACAGTATTCTTGAAGTTTTTCCTTCACTTCTGTTAATATCTTAGTGAGGAGTAAAGGAAGAGGCTTGGTTGAACATTTACTGGAACCCGTAATATATCATTGTTTGTAAGGATTCTTATGAAGTTTTGGAATCCAATATATATACTCAACAAAAAAAGAAACGCATATTGTTTTACTCATCGAAGAAATTTCGAAAAAGTATATGGAGCAACTATTGTTTTTATCATTGGATACCTGTGACCTATTTAAAGTACAACATGGGCTTTTAAACCCCAATTGTGGAATTATTTCCCTTTATTAACCATGTTTATGAAAATAGTGTTTTACATGATTTCTTGTAAATCGGGGGTCTATTTTCAATGAAATTTTGGATTTAGAGAAACAATAAGCACTCCTATTAAACCCATATTTAAGATTTGATTGTAATGTTGATGCTGCAATGCCACGACTAAACAAAGATGAACGCAACAAGGCTCTAACAATGATACTACGCAACAGGAAGTTGCAACTGCATTTGGCTTTTGCAGCAGTTAAATGCACGTTTCCACCAGCTAGGAACACGGATGACAGACCAAGAACTGGCGGTGTGCGGGTTACCACATCCAGACATGACCGTCAGATCCTCCTTCAGCACCTGCGCAATCGACCCAGAACTGCTGTACAAACTGCTGAAATAAGCATATGTGCACACATTGTTCGCAAGAGACTGAGAGGAGCTGGTATTCGTGCACGACGTCCGTACATTGGAAATCCACTATAGCGCTGAGAGGTCGCAAAGGACATATGGATTAGTTAAGACGTATGCCTCTAGAATTTGGAGGCGACGTCAATGATATCAACTTAGCTTGTCAATTTGGAACATAGGACTTGTTTGATTTTTATCACAACACACTCTAAAATCACTTGTAAAAAATTAATTTTAAACTGAAAACTTAGATTATTATTTTTTATCTGAATATGCGTTTCTTTTTTTTTTTTTTTTGTTGAGTATATGTATGGTAGTTCCAAATCATCTTGGTTCTTTGGGATATTAAAAATATTCAAAACTGGCATATGATTTTGAAGAATTTTTTCATTAGAAAGGGAACTATGAGTCAATAATTTACCTCGTTTTAGAAATTGTTCATGCGTATAACTTACTCTTGCATATCGAATCAACTGACATTCAAAATATCCGTATGCAGGTGATAAAAGTATATAGCTGCATACACATGTAAGTTAGGGAAGTTGACGAGAGAAAAGT